CACCTTTCCTGGCAGACACCTGTCTCTCAAACCAACTCTTCCCTTCCCAATCCCCTCCTGCCTTGGCTTTTCATTCCCACCACCCAAAAATGTTGGGTTTGCACCATTTCCCTTCCAGGTAGAATTAAGGCCTGGCCACTGCCTAAATTCTAATTGGAAGAGAACTCTCTGACATTTTTTTTTTTGTTTTAAACCCCAGACTCTTAAGAGCAAAAGCTACAATGAAACATTTCAGGGTGAGAAAGAAATCAAACCCCTCCAGCAGTTTTGTTCTGTCTGAAGTTTTTCCTCAGGATAGAGATGCTTTGAACATGGCAGGCTGCTGGAATACTTCTGTAATAATAACTGAGGAAAACCACAAGACTAAAAATTCAGAAGAGATTTTCAATGAAGCTCAGATAATTTTCTTGGAACTTTGAAAAATACTTAAAATTATGAGACAGCACAGGGTCAGGTCATAGGAGACCTGCTGAAACAAGAGAGAGAATTAATAAAAATGAAAACAAAGGAATATTAAATTTGCAGCTTAACTGATTGTCTTCATACATTTGATTCAGGGATTTGTCTGGAGGTTTTCTAGAATTTACTTGGAATGCTGAAAGAATTCAAGTTAAACAATAAAATATGAATCAGAAAATCATTCTGTGTACAGAATTTATACTCTTAATACAATGGTTTTGAAATTAAATATGGAAACAGATTTTGTTCCCAGCCTGACTGGGAATCCCAGAGTTTGGGTGCATGGAGACACCATCATTCCATTAAAAAAAATGAGTTTTTTTAAGGGAAATACCCAATAGGCTTCACTGGTGATGTGCAGTGGTTGGATACAGAGATCCAGAGGGAGATTTAATGGACTGGGTGGATGCACAGATCCACATGGGAATTTCATGGATTGCTTGGAGTCATGGGTTCAGGTGGAGATTTAATCCTGGATTAGAAAGACACACTAAAAAAATCCCACCAGGCCTCCAGGAAAGCACCTTCATTTCCTGCTTCTGTTTGGACCACGAGGACTCCAAGAAAAATCCAGTTCTGGGGATTTTCTGGGGATTTTCTGGTCCCAGCCAAAAGCAGAAAATATCCAAAACCTCGAATCAAAAAATATAGGGACACAAGAAACAACTGATGGGGATGAAACACAAATCAAGCTCTGCTCTGTGCTTGCACCCAATATTTTTGATTTGGTTTATAAGAGACATTAAATTCCCTCAATTCCCAAGCAAAACTGGGAATCCAAGACGTGTTTAATCCAGACTTTAAAATCAGACTGGATTTGGATTTAGGTGTTGGAAGAATATAAATTCAGACTGGATTTGGATTTAGGTGTTGGAAGAATATAAATTCAGATTGGATTTGGATTTAGGTGTTAGAGGAAGATAAAATCAGACTGTATTTAGATTTAGGCATTAGAGGAATATTAATTCAGATTGGATTTGGATTTAGGTGTTATAGGAATACAAAATCAGACTGGATTTGGATTTGGGCATTAGAGGAATATAGAATCAGACTGGATTTGGATTTGGGCATTAGAGGAAGATAAAATCAGACTGGATTTGGATTTAGATATTAGAATAAGATAAAAATCAAAATATAAATGCCCAGAGGGAACAGCAGCTCCGGGCTGTGGAACCTCGTCCCTCCCTCCCTCCTCTCCCGGTTATTCCACCCCGGGGCACGAGGAGCGTCTCCCTCTTTCCACACCTCTCCAGGGCCACGTCCTCCATCCCAAAACCTCAGCGGGGAGGGGGGAAGGAGCCAAGAGCTGCTTGTGACGATGGCACCGAGCAGTTGAGCTCAGGAGCTATTCCCAGCCAGCGGTGTCAGCTTCCTGGTGACCTTAGCAGGGAACATTCCTCACCTGGAAAAGCAGCAGAAAACCTCGAGCCTGGCATTTCTTCCCATGGAAGGGGCTCTCTCCAGGGCAGGGATTGGGAATGTTGCTCTGGAAAGGTTTTCCAGGGCAGGAATTGGGAATATTGCTCTGGAAAGGTTTTCCAGGGCTGGAGCTGCTGCGTTCAGGGCAGGAATTGGGAATGTTGCTCTCCCAGAGCCATTCCCTGCTCATCCAGCCATCCCCACTCCTGTGGGATTCCATGAATTTGTGTTTCCTCGTCTTCCTCTCTCCCCGGCAGCTCCCAAATGCTGGGGTTGGAGGGGAGAGGATCCCACAGATCGCCAGGGAATTGCAGGGCTCAGTGCAGGAGGATGAGCTGTGTTTGGGGAGAAGATTAAACCTGAGCACATCGGGGAAACTCGGGAATTTCCTTCCAGCTGGGATGGGGGAATCTAAACCTGCTCACTCCAGGTCCTGAGGAAATCCTGATCCCAAAACTGATCCCAAAACTGATCCCTGTCAGGGAGGTGCAGGGAGCAGGACCACGGCTGTGGATCCAGCTCAGCTCCACTTTGTAGGGAAAGCACAAAAGAAACGAGCAGGAATCAGGATTAGAGGACAGAGAAGGCACGGGAACGACTCTGGAAAACCAGGAAAAGGCTGCACTTCCCCACGGGCAGCTGCGGGTATAAATATCCCGATTTTTTCTGCCTGCCAAGTGTCCCCCAGAGCCTTTCCCACCCCTCTCCGGGCGGGCACTGTACGTACTGGTCTTCCAGGCATCCGGAGCCTGCAGGTCAGATGTCTTCACAGCCCAGGAGGCGAAGGCACAGAAGACGAGGCACATGTCCTTGTGGCTCAGCACCCGCGGGTCCTCTGCTGCTCCTGCCACGACACCGGCACAGCTCTGGGGGATTTGTGCCACCCCCTCTGCCACCCCTCCCCTCCCTCCGGGACAGCGAATCCCAGGAAAATCAGCCCCGAGGGGGTTTTTGAACCAGGGGTGAAGTCAAAAGGGTTCTTCAGTGTTCCCAAAGGACGGTGGCACATTTGTCACCCCTCTGAGTCTGACACTTGGCTGGAAACCCCGAGGGAATGAATGTTTGTTAAAGTCACCTCCCTGCTGACCTTCTCAGCTCCCTGTGGCGGCTGGGATTGGCTCTGGGGAGGAGCACATTTAGGACAGAGAATTCCTGGGGACACAGGCAAGGTCCCCTTCCTGTCACCAGTGTCCCCAGGCACACTCAGGACAAATCCGAGAGTGCTCAGCATCCCTCTGGGCATCCCACCCCACTCCTGCCTCCTCTAGGGGTGAAAACATCCCTGAGTGCTCTGCATTCCCTGCACTGCTGCATTCCCTGCACTGCTGCAGTTCCAACCCTGCTGCATTCCCTGCCCCACTGCAGTTCCAGCCTGGAACAACTTGCAGCCATATCTCAAAATCAGGTTATTTCTGCTCCTATTCATTTGATCAGGTCTTTAATCAAAACTGGCTTATTAATTAGCTCTGACCACCTCAGAGGGGTTTTTTTCTGTGCAAACAGATGAAGCTTCCTTTGGGATGGCTCCCTCTTTGTTTGGGTTTAATATTAACTCTGAGCATCATTTAAGCTCAAAGACAAATCCCCTCCCTGGGCCTTTGTGGGTCGAGTTTTTCCCTTTATTCCCATTTCTGTCACCTGCCTCCAGGAACAACGCTCAGGTGACCTCTGAGGTGTCCAGAGGGTGTTTTTGGGATCAGAGTGGGGTTTGCAGTCCCACATTTCCTGTCCATGTCCGAGGGGATGGAGGGAGGGAGAATCCCAAGGGACAGGCAGGGTGACACAGGGAACATCCCAAGGGACAGCCAGGGTGACACAGGGAGCATCCCAAGGGACAGCCAGGGTGACACAGGGAGCATCCCAAGGGTGACACAGCCCAGGCCACGTCCCTGCAGGGGCTAACAGGATTTACCTCTCAGTGCCAGGGCCGTGTCTCCATCTTCTGGCCACACCGGGGCTCCTCCCAGCGGGACCAGGGCCAGCTCCTCTCCGGATCTTCTGGGCACCAAGGCCTGGGAGCTGGAGCCTTGCTCTCCTCCCAGCTGCATTTGCCTTTGCAGCAGGGACCTCAAAGCCCTCACAGCTTTCTTCACCTCGGAGGCCGGAGCCATGGAGAAAATCCCTCTCCAGCCCATCCTGTTCTGGGCTCTCTCTGGGAAGAGTTCATAGACATCAGGGACTGGGATAACCACGCTGTCCTTGCCTGGGGCCGAGCTGGGAGCCTCCTTTTGCATCCCAGCACGCTCCAAGCCGCTAAACTTCTTTCTTTTCCTGTCTTTAGCTTTGACTTTTTTCCTGCTTCCTTCTGGCTCATTGAACAAATACTCGTAGAGTTCAGGCCAGGAGATTTCCCTCTGCAAGGGGGATTTCCTCCCCTCCAGGGAGCTCCCCAGCTCCTCCTCCTCCTGGGAATCACAGAACAGGTACTCGTACATCTCGGGCCAGGTCACATCCAGAGAGTTGGACTTGGGAGAGGCTCCATCAGCAAAGCACAGGGGGCTCCTGGCCCTGGGGGTCTCAGCTGCAGCTTCCCAAGGGATCCCAGCTCTGGGAATCGTGGGGATCCCAGCTGCAGGCTCGCATGGGATCTCAATTGCAGGGATCCTGGGGATTTCAGCTGCAGGGATCCTGGGGATCTCAATTGCTGAACTCCTGGGGATCTCCATTGCAGGACTCCTGGGAATCTCCATTGCAGGGCTCCTGGGAATCTCAACTGCAGGGATCCTGGGAATCTCTGCTGCAGGCTCCCAAGGGATCCCCACTGTAGGAATCCTGGGGATGTCAGCTGCTGGTTCCCAAGTGATTTCAGCCACGGGTTTCCTGGGAATGGCAGCTGCAGGCTCCCAAGGGATCCCAGCAGCAGGAACTGCAGGGATCTCTGAGGGTTTCCTGGGAATCTCAACTGCAGACTTCCTGGGAATCTCAGCTGCAGGAGCTCCAGGGATCTCAGCAGCAGCAATTCCAGGGATCTCAGCTGCAGGAACTGCAGAGATCTCTGAGGGTTTCCTGGGAATCTCAGCTGCAGGAATTCCAGGGATCTCTGAAGGCTTCCTGGGAATCTCAGGAGCAGGAGCTCCAGGGATCTCAGCAGCAGCAATTCCAGGAATCTCAGCAGCAGCAATTCCAGGGATCTCAGCTGCAGGAATTCCAGGGATCTCAGCTGCAGGCTCCCCCCCAGCCCTCCCAGCAGCATTCCCTCCAGACGCTGCCGCGCTCCCGGGCTGCAGAGGCTTCCCTGGCATCTCCTGGCACGGCTCCACATCGCCAGGGACCACTGGGACACTGTCACGTACGCCCAAGCCACCGGCCTGCCCTGCCTTGGGGTGCTTGGTGGCCTTTGCCTTCCCTGGGGACTGCGCCCCCGGCTCCTTCCCCCTCTGTTTTGGGGGAGCAGTCCCGGGATCGCCGGGATCAGAACCGGGCAGTGACCGCTTGTTGTCCGCAGCCTCCTCGCTGCCCAGCCTCACCAGCGCTCCCTTGGCAGCCTTGTCCTTCCCTTTGCCCTTCCGAGGGGACACCGGGGAGCCCGGGGGGGCCTTCCCGGCTCCGGCCGCTCCCGGTGCCGCAGGGTCCCGGTCCCCCTCGGTGCCGCTGGCTCCGCGCTGCCTGCGGCTCTTCTTGGGCTGTGCCGGCACCTTGGGCCTCACCACGCTGGGGGATCCGCCCGGGGAGCTCGGCTCCGTGGCCGCCTTCTCCTCGTCCGGTGCCACCCTGGGCACCGACCCCAGGGCCGGGCTCGGGGGGTCCCCCGCGGGTCCCCGCAGTCCGAGCTCAGCGCTTCTCTCGGCCGATCCCTCCGATTGTGGCTGTGCCACCGATTGTGGCTGTGCCACCGCTCCTGGCTGTGCCATCGCTCCTGGCTGTGCCACCACTCCTGGCTGTGCCACCGCTCCCGGCTGTGCCATCGCTCCTGGCTGTGCCATCGCTCCTGGCTGTGCCACCACTCCTGGCTGTGTCACCGATTGTGGCTGTGCCATCGCTCCTGGCTGTGCCATCGCTCCTGGCTGTGTCACCGGGGCTTGTCCCCCTCCTGCCTGCCCGCCCTGCTCGGGGGGTCCAGGGGTCTCCACGGCCGCTCCTTTCTCCGCCGTGTCCTGCCCGGGGCTGCTCTGGGCTGTGCCACCAGCCGTGGTGGCCGCGGGTGGCCTTGGTGGCTGCCTCCTCTGCGCGCTGGGCATGGCAGCGGGTGCCAGGCCGGGCTTGTCGCTGTCACACAGGAACCTGCCCACAGAGCCCAGCTCCGCTTCGTCCTCGCTGCCCGACAGCAGCTCCGGCACCGAGAGGTGCCCACGCTGGGGCCAGCGCAGGGCGGTGTCAGTGGCCACCCCACGTGGGGCAGGGCTGCCCGTGCCAGCCGCTGGCTCGCTGCCCGGCCTGGCGGCGATCCCGGGGTCGCTGCTGCGGGGACAGTCGCGTCCCGAGGTGTCCCCTTGCTCAATGTCACTGAGGCTCTGCTCCTCGGCCGTGGCCAGCGAGGCGGGTGCCAGGCTGCACTCCTCGGACGCCTGGAAGAACTCGGCCCATTCGCGGTCGTTCAGCTGGATGCTGTACTCGAAGTTATCCATGCCTGCGGCGGGGACACGGGGACACGTCAGGGAGGAGCGGGTGGCACCGCTGTGGGCACACGGAGGCGACATCTGTGCCCCAAATCCCTCCCTTGGTGCCAGTTCCTCCCTTCCAGCTGCTCCTCCTCACCCGTTTCCAGCTGGAAATTCCAGCCCCTGGCAACCTCAGCAGGATGGGGATGGCCGTGCTGGAACACAAGCCAGGCAGCAGGGAGGGAGACCCCTGCCACCCCCTCTGCTCCCCAGGGCTGCACAGGGGTTTGGGATGATCCCCAGAGCTTTGGGATGATCCCCAGAGCTTTGGGATTCTCCCCAGGGCTGCACAGGGGTTTGGGATGATCCCCAGGGGTTTGGGATTCTCCCCAGAGCTGCACAGGGATTTTGGGATGATCCCCAGAGCTTCGGGATTCTCCCCACAGCTGCACCAGAGCTTTGGGATGATCCCCATGGCTTTGGGATGATCCCCAGAGCTGCACCAGAGCTTTGGGATGATTCCCAGAGATGCACAAGGGATTTGGGATTCTCCCAGAGCTGCACAAGGGATTTGGGATGCTCCCCACAACTGCAAAGAAGGTTTGGCATTCTCTCCACACCCCCTCTCACCTCACACCCCTCTCCCCTTCTCCTTTTGCCTCACAATCCACCCTAAAAGCTGTTCCCGAGCATTCCCGGGGCATTCCCGGAGCATTCCCGGAGCATTCCCGGGGCACAGCGCGATCGGGACATCCCAGCCAAGCCCTGGGGAGGGAGGCCCAGCCCAGCCCGGGGGGGACCCGGCAGCGGGACAAGCAGGGAGGTGACAAAGCCCGTCCTACCTGTCCCCCAGCCCCAGGCGGGGACGGAGCCATTCGAGCAGCCACGCAGGAGAACCCTCCCAGCACAACATGATGCCACGGGGGCAGAGAGCCCGGCTCCAGCTCCGATCCATTCAGGGGATAAAAATAGACCCCCCCCTCCCTCCCCGGTGTCACTTGAGATGTCACAGTGCCACCGGTCCGGAGAGGGCAGGGCCATATATAGAACTGGTGGGGGACATGCCAGGGTGCCAGCCAATGTGTGACTGTGCCACAGCCACGGCTGGGGGCACCGGGGCCACTCCTGGCGGCCCCTGCTCCTCTGTGGGGTGGCCAGGCCATGGAGCTGCCAGCCTTTGGCACACCTGGCTGGCACTGACTGTCCCCTTTTTCCCACTGAGCCACTTTTTCGCCTTAGTCACCCTCTCCAGGGTGACACGAAATCACCTCAGGGGCAGGGTTCACCCCTTTAGGGCACTCCCAGAGCTTTTATTGCTGCCGGGTGACATCAGGAGATGGCAGCCAGCATCACGGTCTTGTGACAAACCTCCCTGGCAGGGCGTGTGGCAGCTGTCCCACGCCACCCAGGGCCACCTGGGCCACGTGTGGGGAGCCTTGGGCTGCGGGCTCAGGGACAGCCTGGCACGGGGGGGGAGGGTGACAAAGTGGCCAAGGGAGGCCTGGCAGGTCACGAAGCCGAGCCAGAAATAACCCTCAGCTCCCCGGAGCCTTCCTCCCACCTTCCTCCTCATGCCAGGGCCAGAAATAGCTGCCCTGGAAGAGCTGCGGGCAGGGCAGGGGCTGGGCCAGTGAGCCCCAGGCCCTGCTGGCCCCCAGCACTGCCCCGAGGCCCCAGCCACCCCCTTGGGCACCAGCTGGACATGGCTGTGGCCAGGGTGACCCTTTGGGGGTCCCACAAACTCTCGAGGGTCCCCCCAGGGCCAGGTGGTGACCCCAGGGAGACTGGGGACAGCTCTGGCTGTGTCCCCACAGGGAGGGGACAGCAGAGTCCCCTGTCCTGTCCTGACTGTGTCCCCACAGGGAGGGGACAGCAGAGTTCCTTGTCCTGTCCTGGCCGTGTCCCCACAAGCAGGGGACAGCAGAGTCCCCTGTCCTGTCCTGGCCGTGTCCCCACAGGGAGGGGACAGCAGAGCTCCCTGTCCTGTCCTGGCCGTGTCCCCATCCCGCGGGATGGAAGCTCCCCATCGTGGCTGCTGTCCCGCACTGCAGAGAGCCGGGACAGCCCAGCCCAGGCGCAGCTGGAGGAAATACCACTCCGGGAACATCTGGACGGGAAGAGCCGCTGCCTTCCCACCCTATCTCGTCCCACATCTGGCGACGCCCCGCTCCCCCCGCAGACGCGGAGGGGAAACCGAGCGGCTTCCTCCTCTTGGCTGCAGGCGATTTCCTTCCCTTTGAGGCACAGAAACCTTTCAACTCGGCCAGCAGGGAACATGAGAGGGCCAGAGGTCACAGCCGGGGCCGTGGTGGCCGCGGTGTCACCCTGGAGTGTCGGTGTCACCCTGGATCCCAGCCACACATCCACAGCAGCCACACGTCCCACCCAAGGTCACAGACACGGCCAGGAGCAGGACACAGCCCAGGATTTCTCTGCCTGGCCAGGGAAAAGCCCCCACAGCGTCCATGGGGACCTCAGAGACCGCTTCCCTTCCTTTTAGGGGGGGCCACAAAATCCCAGCGTGGCCTTAAGGGCACGTCCAGCTGTCCCTGAGCCCCTCAGGTGGCAGAGGGACACGGTGCCACCTCACCAAGGACATTTAGTGGCAGTGCAGAGCCCGTGTCCCATTTCCCTCTGCGTGTCTCTCTGGGATTCCTGGCTGCAGCTCCACGCTGCCGGATGCTGGGATGCTGCAGGGCTGCTGCAGGGCTGCTGCAGGGCTGCTGCAAGGCTGCTGCAAGGCTGCTGCAGCCCCATCCCAGCACCCAGCACCTCCAGGATGGTCGCTGTGGGATTAAGGACGCGATATAAATAACCAAAGTCAGGCTGTAATGAGAGAAGGGCCCGAAATAAACAGAGATGTGACCCCCCCCACCCCACCCCGTGCCGGGTGGGACACGGCGTGGGAGAAACGGGCAGGATCAAGGGCATGGAAAAGGCAGGAAAAGTGGGAGTGGCACTTCCTTTGGGCTAGAGACACCTTGATCTGGATCAAACTTTGAGCCTAGCCTTGAGCCTAAGCTCCAGGCTCAGCACTCACCACTCCCCACGTAAAGGAACCTCGATTTTTTTAGGAAAGCAGCTCTCAGGGCAATGTGGAATAATTCCCTTTACCCCCAAGAAATTCCATCTGGGAATATTCTACCTTCGTGCAGCTTCTCAAGCCGGCACTGAAACACCAGGAGCGTGGGGGTTTGGCTGAATTCCCCGTGAGAAAACGCAGACAATGCAGAGAAATGTGGCTTTGATTAGGGAGATCCTCCCTGCCCTGATCTACACCCATCACACGCTGTGAGGCACGGCAGGAAGGGAGAGATCGGAGGAAAAGCAAAGGGAAAAAAAAAAATAAATAAAGCACAATGGAAAAAGAAATCTGTCCACAGCTTCAGGAGCAGGACAACCTTGGCCTGGGGTTTATTTGTGATTATTTTCTTGTTCTTCCTTCATTTTTAGCTGGATGATCCCCGAGCCTCAGGCACTTTTGTGTCCATGTCTGGCTGCTCCTGGACACTCGTCCTGTGCTCTCCCTGCCCTCTCACCTCGGGATCTGCCCCCGATCCGATTCATCCCCTCCTTCCCACAAATTCCCACGAGGTACAACCTGCCAGAGGGATTTGGGAATGCTGAGCTGCACACGACCTTCCACAAAACCAGGACACCTCCCTGGGGATGGGCACGGAGGGGGGAAAAAAATTGGGATCCACCGGGAGGAGCAGCTCGGTGCTGAGGAAAGGGTTAACCCTGCACTGAAACTCCGAGTGAAGCCGCAACCACCCGGCTGGTTCTGCTGGTTTGGGGGCAGGTGAGCAGCAAATTATCACCCCCAAACCACCCGAGCTCCGCTTTGTTTTTTGCCCAAACCCTTTAACTTTTTTTTTTTCTTTTTTTTTTTTTTTTTTTTCTGCCTGAAACTTCCCTCCCCAGGCTCTGTTAAAATTCCAGCCCATGCTCGCCGAGCCGCCAGCAGCGGGCTCATGCAAAGGTCACACTCGGCTCTCTTGAAACCCAGCCCGAACTCGCCTGAAACTCAGCCAAGCTCTTCCCAAAGCTCGGCTCCTGGCCGCAGTTTCGGGCTCTTAATCCAAGTCTCGCCGGGTTTCGGATTTCTGCGCAAGTTTTGGCTTTGCTCTCACAAGAAACAGCCCCGGGCTGCCCGCGGGACCCCTCGGGCAGTGCCAGGGACACGGTGGCAGTGGCGGGGTGGCAATGCCAGGAGCAGGATGGCAATGCCAGGGTGACAATGCCAGGAGCAGAGTGGCAATGCCAGGGTGACAGTGCCAGGGTGACAGTGCCAGGGGCACGGTGGCAGCACCAGGAGGACGATGACAGTGCCAGGAGCAGGGTGACAGTGCCAGGGGCAGGGTGACAATGCGAGGAGCAGGGTGACAATGTCAGGGTGGCAGGGCCAGGAGTAGGGTGACAATGCCAGAGGCAGGGTGGCAGGGCCAGGGACGCGGTGGCAGTGTCAGGAACAGGGTGGCAATGCCAGGAGCAGGGTGACAATGTCAGGGTGGCAGCACCAGGGGCAGAGTGGCAATGTCAGAGTGGCAGCGCCAGGAGCAGGGTGGCAATGCCAGGAGCAGGGTGACAACGCCAGGAGCAGGGTGGCAATGCCAGAGGCAGGGTGACAGTGCCAGAGGCAGGGTGACAGTGCCAGGAGCACGGTGACAGTGCCAGGAGCACGGTGACAGTGCCAGGGTGGCAGTGCCAGGATGGGCTGGATGGGCTCAGGATCCCGGAGCAGGGAGGCGCCGCCCCCGGGGGACAGGGTCTGTGTGTCCCCAGCTTGGTGTGGGGCTGTGGGACACTGTCCCTGTCACTGTCCCTGAGCTGTCCCTGGGCACAGATCTCAGATCTCTTCATTCTCTTTAATTGTTCCATTATTAACTCATATTATTATTCCATTATTATTCTATTTATTCCATTTAATTTTTTTTACAAGCCCTGGAAAGAGGCCTGTGTGCTGAAGTTTCAGCTCCCAGAAATCCATTTCCCTCCCCCGAATCCTTCAGGATCTGTTTTTGGTT